AATTAATCCTAGTTACACTGCTTAATTTGTATAATGGACTGTTCTTGCTTTACATTTGGAACATTCCGTTGTTATCAAAAGGGTCTCTAAAATTGAGCAGTTTCTGGTAAAAATTAGACTGGCATGACTAAAAACTATCATGTCACCTAATCAATGCTTGGCTTCACAAATACTTTAGAAGAATTATAATTAAGGTTTAAGTGTGATCAATGATCAAAATATTTTCACTTTTGTCAATTATCACACACAAAAGTTACCCGATTAATGAACTTATTACAGAATAAAGAATAATTTTTGGGTTTTCCAAGCTAATCTTTGGGTACAAACAAACTTTTACAGTTATGCCTTTCAAAATAAGGTTGACTAATCTATGTTGACCGGTAATGAGAAGTTAAAAATCAATGGTAAAAGTTTGTTTGTACCGGAAGACTGATAGACCCCTATACTGACCTTATAGATTTAAGCACAAACATTGACATTTGCTCTTTCATTAAGAAACATTTTGTGGTGGAATTCTTATCATATCCACTAATCTGATAGTTAGAATTAGACAGGTCCCAGATCTATGCATTAGCATGGAAAACCCCGCATTTGTCCAGTTCTGAACAACATCTATTCTAAAATGATTTTTTAGTAAACAAAACTGGAATGTTTTTAGTAAGATGATGCATGGGAACAGGCTATTATTACTACAAGCTTTAAGTCATGGCATAATGTAATAACTATATAGCATAATGTAATAACTATATAGCATTATTATATAATCTATAAATAGCTTTGAAATGCCTTTCCCTGATTGGCTTACAAGCAACTTTTTGTAAAAAATAACAGGTCAATATCAGAGTATATTCACTGTTTTTTTCCTAAAAATAGATTTTCAGAGTATATTCACCGGTTTTTCTTCTAAAAATAGATTTTCTGGAAATCCCTTAAAGACGCGAGACTTTTACGTGACGTCATGCCAAATTTGTTGTTATTATTCTGAAAAAACTTTGTGTGGGTGTACATAAGAGTCAAATATTAGTCTATTTTAGTTACCGTTTTTCATTTTGAAGAACAATAGGGATTAGCATGCCAATGGAAAGGGCCAAATTATGGAAACAGTAGACAAGCTGAAAAATAATGATTTCCGTCGTATGCAATGGCAGATGTGATAAGCCATATAAAAGCTATTTATAAATTATATAATAAAACAGATATGTACTTTTTAGCTGTTGAATATGATGTGATATGTACTAAAAAATTAATATTGACCTCGGCTATTGCTAATTTACTCATTTCTAACATTTATTTTAAAAGATATACATGAACAACAGTTTACTTATGGCATATCGGCTATAGATGTATTAGTAAAAAGAAAATATTCAATAGACCAGTCTACTTTAACCTTACAATTTTAACCTTACAAAAACTAACCAATACTTGTTAAAGAAAGTTTGCAGAAAGTCTCTTATGTTCTTTTAAATGAAAAATTATACTTTACAAAAGTTACATATTTCATAACCTATCTATAGAAGAATGATGAGCTTGGTTTCATATCCAATTTAGGTGTGTTTATATTGTTTATATATTAAAGAAAGTATTACAGAATATAGTTTGTTATATTTTCTAATTTTTAAAAAAGCCAGCATTAACCCATTCTGTCTATATCTAAGGAAAAGGGTCAAATAAATACAGCTGCATTTATTCTAAAATATTGAATTTTAAATGGGTAAAAGGCCAGAAATATGAAAATATCAAAAAAACCTTATCTTCAAAACATACATTGTCAAACATGTAACTAAACAACAACAAAATGTGTAAATAATCTGGTCAAAATCTGTGTTGAAGAAATTTTCATTTATAGCAATTTCCCAACAAATGTCTTGAATTAAAAACAGTTGTTGATATCTATTTTAAATAAGAACATATAACATAATGATAAATGTTTAGTATTTTGTTAAACAAACAGAAAACAGCATTGGAGTTATGATAGAGAATAAACGCAATGTCCCATCATATGTGTATACTCGTATGAATGCCACTGTTCACTACTAATTCACTGACCACTTCATTTGTTGAGTCCCAGTGAAAATGAATCACTCAGAAAGTTTTTTTCCCATTTATCAGTTATACTTTTTCCTAAATATTATTCGAACCCATCAAAACGTGAGGATTACTTAAAGCAAAATGAGACTACTATATTCAGGAGTATATCACAACATATTATACTTCCATTAAAATCTGTCGAAACTCGGTATGTGTTAGTTAAGTTCTCGATCGTACGCTGTTAGTAATGTCTCGATCGAGAGTGCGAATCTCTTTGATGTTGGTAGTGGCCAGTAGAAGGGCCGGAGGAATGTCGACGAGGGTTAGAAACAGAACCGTAACCTGGGAAACAAAAAACAAAACAAAGGCAAGGGTAAGATGAAGTAGATATAATGATGAGGTCATCAAACTATGTGCAAACTGTTGTCATTTATATCATTTGTAACATATTCTGCCCTTTTTTAATTGAATGCTATTCAAATTAAATCATCACCTTGATTTTTTTTTTTTTTTTTTGTAAAACAATGCATTAATATAATATCTACTTGTTAAATTTTACAACCTTCGTTACGAGCTCAAAAAAAGAACAACAATAAACTTTTTTTCCCCGCTCTTTTCTTGTTTTGTTTTATCTAATACACATATACAGATTTTGTACTTGTGCCAAACAACAATTTCACTTCAATTACAATAAATACAAATATAGAGAAGAACAAACACAGTATACAAGAAGGCTTACAGTTTGCACATTATTTGACACTTGCAGGCTGTAGTTATTGGTAAGAAGGTATAAAAGCAAGGATATATTCTAACATACATCCTCCTAGCAATATTACAACAGAGAGTAAATCTAGGTCATAAACTTATTTATATTCATCAATTCATTTCAAGCATAGAACACCCTTTAATCATAACAGATGTTGTTGCATAACAACCATCTAAATTATCAAATTTTGGTTCAGTAACCCAAAACAATAATTTTATATAGCTCGAGACTGGAATATACTGCATATTAGCTACAGCAATTATCACTTAATGGTTTTTGTTGCATAGCAACTGATGCATTTTTACATGGTTACTGTTGCATAGCAACCATTGCATTCATAACCTGGCTATTGTTACTCTGCAACTGTTTGTTTTGTTTGGATTACAGTGCATTAACACAATTTAGATCATATGGCGCAAAAACATTGCAACTGTTATAATTCATTTCCTGTTTACTGTAACATAGCAACCATTACATTCATGGTTATTGTTGCATAGCAACTGTTACATTTTAATATAACCTGGCAATTGTATCTTACATGTAATTCTTCACAATTTTAAGATTAGTGTCCCCAAGCAATGTTTCAGCTAAATTATAACATTTGAATGCCAGAAATACTCTCTTTTGTATTAAGAAAATCAACAGAGGTTAGAACAAGAGGTTTTTTTATGGTGATTATCTAGCTAATGTGTACAACTTGAAAGGTCTTTTATGGCAAAGGTTTTGATTAAAAGTATATTAAGATCAAGCAAGAATGGAGCAGAGAAAATTGAATTGATATTTTAACAATCAATCTGAAAATCATATAACCAGACATGTGTAATATAAGCATAAGATTCAGTACATATGATAACATATATGTTGTGTATTGACTGTTGTAACTGGAGACATATATGTGTTTTACAAATGTTAGAAGTTGATTTTGTGTATTACCACAAGGGCTTAATACTAAAATCAGTTTTATCTTTTCATTATTTGTAATACCACGAGCTTACAATCCCATCCCCAGGTGACAATGTGCTATGGATTTGTTTAGTCTCTGGAAACTGTCAGTTATAAAATTTGTGGGTTACCAAGCAACCATCAATATAGAGTCTGGTCAGCTGGCATGGACATGCAGGCTTGCCTGGCTCTAAACTGGTGGCAAAAGATATCTCCATTCTGGTTCCAGGTTAAGTGCAAAAAAGGTCAAATATTCTCCATTTTTTTCAAAACCAGTAAAAACTTTTAATTAAATTATTTCCAAAATCAAGAAATAGTTGGCTCTAGCAAAAACTTGTTTTGTTTGTTTCATATATATAGTTCTTGATAATTTAATAATTAAGTGATGATTCAAAGTTTTGGGAAATTGGAAGGGTTGCATGCATAAATAGACAATGATTGGGCACAAAATGATTCTCAAGGGTACAAAAACTTTAAACTATAACAACCAATTATGAATGGCCTATTAAATGAGCCGCATCACGACAAAACCAACATAGTGCGTTTGCGACCAGCATGAATCCAGACCAGCCTGCGCATCTGCACAGTCTGATCAGAATCCATGCTGTTTGCTTTCATTTCTCTACTTGTAATAGGGTTGGTAAGCGAACAGCATGGATCCTGATCAGACTGCGTGGATGTGCATGCTGGTCTCGATCCATGCTGGTCGCAAATGCACTTTGTTTGTTTTGTCTTGACGCGGCTCAAATTTTGTTTCCTGGAACACTAAGAAAAAATCTCATTACTCTTCGCGGAATATGGAAACAGCACAAATATTATAAAACAATAATTATCAAAAGGTTTTTTTTTTAAGTCCCTAAAACATAACAGAAAATGCAGTGAATTGTATAATATGATTAATCTCTGCTAAGCAATATTTAAAAAAAATGTTAACCTACTATGTGTCAACATTCTAACGCCAGTAGCTTTAGTCCTTGTTAAATTAACTCCTTTCAATACTACATTTTAATTTCTTTTTACAAGAGTTATCAATAATTCATAAAGAAAAATAATGAAAAAATTGCCAATTATGTTATACAAATTAGCATAATGACATAAGAGTATAAACTACATAAGAAAATATAAATCTATACATATCAAACATTGGCAAATGCAAGAGTAACTTCCCCTTTACCAAAGCTATAAAACACTAGAAATCCACTTCACCTCTACCAAAATACAGTATACATATGAAAAAGATATTCACTGTCCTACATCAACCTACCTCCTATACTGTCATTGTCTGTTTCATCATGGAAATCATCACCACGACTACTTTCAGTGGCACTCAGCTGACTGTGACCATATCTATCACTAGAAATGCTCGTTTTACTCTCTCTCACATGACTAGAATAAATCTGGCCACTCTGACTGCTTGTCATACTCATAGCATCACTCTCGGCTGAAAGTCAATATCATGATTATAGATTCAACATACTTAATCATGTTTTGGTTATAGATTCAACATACTAAATCATGTGTTGGTTATAGATTCTGCATACTAAATTATGTTTTGGTTACAGTTTCAACATACTAAATCATGTTTTGGTTACAGATTCAACATACTTAATCATGTTTTGGTTACAGATTCAACATACTCAATCATGCTTTGTTTACTAAATCATGTTTTGGTTACAGTTTCATCATACTAAATCATGTTTTGGTTATAAATTCATCATACTAAATCATGTGTTGGTTACTAAATCATGTTTTGGTTATAGATTTAATATACTAAATCATGTTTTGAAATACAAAACAAATTTTCTTTTTATTTTACTATTTAACTGGAAAAAACACAGAAAGCACAGTGTATTTTACTGTTTTTTTAAGGAGCAGATGCTAAATGATGTCAGAAGTTAACAGGCTGTGCAAAAAAAATGGGAACAAAATTAAACTAAGCTTATAGTCATCATTGCAATGTAATTTTCGATATAAATTCAGTGAAGTTAAATGATAAATATTTAAGATGAGAAATATGCCATAAAAATCTGTAACACAGCAATTTATTTTTTCATGTAAAGTTATGTTATTATAAAGATTTATAATAATGCACACCAACAAAACGTTTGGTCAATCTATATCATTCACAGAGTAAATGATATGAAAAGTCATGTTTATATTCATTTCTCTGTACATTTATCATTCTGATACTTCTGTCACTTATGTCCCTGATGGTACATAGAAAAGGTCATATACATACAACTGTTAAATATATAATGTATAGGATACCACAGTTTCACAAACAGGAAATACAATTCAAAAACAGGATTTGTATGTATATATAACTGATTTAGAATTAAACATATCTGTCATGTTCTCATGGTTAGTTTTAAATTTCTATTTCCCATTCTCATGGTATAGTTAATAAGTTTTACATTCTGATCTCATGGTGTAGTTTAGAAATATACTCTCATTTTCATGGTTTAGTAAATGAATTTATATCCTGTTCTCATAGTCAAGTTTATAAAATATATTTCCCATTCTCATGGTTAAATTAGTAAATATATTAAATATCTGTTCTCATGGTTGAGTTAAATCCTGTTCTCTTAGTTCAGTTTAATAAAGACATCCCATGTACATATACGTGTTCATCCTGTTCTTAATGGTTACTTTGTAAAAACTTTATAACATGATTGTCATGGTTTATACATATACATATCCTATTATCATGGTCATTTTAAAATCAAATATCGAGTTATCATGGTTCATATATATATCCTATTATCATGGTCATTTTAAAATCAAATATCGAGTTATCATGGTTCACATATATATATATCCTATTATCATGGTCATTTTAAAATCAAATATCGAGTTATCATGGTTCACATATATATATATCCTATCATCATGGTCATTTTAAAATCAAATATCGAGTTATCATGGTTCATATATATATCCTATTATCATGGTCATTTTAAAATCAAATATCGAGTTATCATGGTTCATATATATATATCCTATTATCATGGTCATTTTAAAATCAAATATCGTATTGCCATGGTCATTTTAAAGCAAATATAATGTTATTATGGCTTATAAATATGTATCTTATTATCATGGTTACTTAAAATCAAATATCATGTTATCATTGTCATTTACAATCAAATATCATGTTATCATGGTTTATACCTGATCCTCTTCTACCCTTTCTCTTGCCAATGCTCACATCATCTTCAGAGCTGCTTTCTGACTCGTGGTCACTACTCTCACCATAGCTTGTACCTGCAACATCATCAACCAATTAGTGAATATAATTATCTAATTATAATGCCAAACAATCTGTACATCATAATTCAATTAAAATCATAAATCACTATCTGCGACTTACTATTATTATCAGACCTTACTATGTGAATAAAATGTATCTTAAATGGACTTGTCGACAAAGACACAAATGAACTGGTTCATCATAGTCTGAAGTGTTTGCTATTCAGTCAGTACTTAAATTGAAATTTTTTCTAAATATCATGAATGATTTTGTCCAGATTTAAAGGTTGAGAAGTCAATTTGAGATATTAAGCATGGCAATGGCTAATTTAGGAAGGAAAGTTACTGCAATACAAAAATCAAAGCACAGAAGGCGCTGAATTTGTTTGGGTCTCAGAATGTCAGAAAGGTGAAGGTTGTGAGATTATAGACCAATTTGTTTTTGTATAGTGCCACCAATGCTTTTCAGTGTTTTAACTGTAGTAAATTGGCTATAAGACTAATTGCAACACTGATTAAGTCAATTCAATGTTTATCTGACTTAAATTTTTCTTAAAAAAATGAGTTGCCTCAACGGGGATTTTAACTCGAGACCTCTCGATTCATAAGCGAGCGTGCAAACCCCTCGGCCACGGTGAAATTATAAGTTAACGACCTGAAGAAAACCATATTATTCTAAATTAGGGTTTGTAACTCTTATTATTTCGACGCTAAACACAGATGTAAATTATCATGGAGCTTACTGTAAGCATGTATATCTATAAAGAATGAAACAATATTAGAAATCTTCGACCATTCGGGAACTACTTTGCTTGAAAATTAATGCGCCTGTCATTTGACAATCTTTACGCATTGATCTCCCCTGAATTTTTCGGCGTTAGTGTACATATAAAGGGAAGTAACCGCTTCAAAAAAGTGGACTACTTTAGGCATTTGCAATTAACAGCATTAGGCTCTGAAAGAGCAAGGTTCACTAAGCACCAAAAATGGCCCCATCTTAGATATTGATAAAAACCTAAAGGTGTATAGTACAATGTGTTACATTTTCAAAATAGACATTTATTAGGCATTTCTGGTTACTATGACGACATAATGACGTCATAATTAGAGCACCTGCTTAATTCAATTAAATCACAAATTTGACGACAATTTTCATACAAGACTAATAAATTTGTGTGTTTGACTTAATTAAACTCATAAAGATAGCAATATATTTCTTATATATTGTAAACAAAATTAAAGTTTAGTTAAAATTAGACTAGTGTGTCACAAAACTAATATAAAAGATAAATGGGGCTCGTTTCGGATATTCCAAATTCGGATATTTAGAAATAAAAAATGTGCATGCATATTATTTTTCGCCTAACTAAATGTATTTATTTTTTACTTTTATAAATACTGTAAGTTTGTTCATTTTTTAATAATAAATGTCTAATTTGCTTGTTATATTCATCTACTTCTTACATTACGCTTAAAATAAGGGTGTATAGAATCAATCGCAATTTTAACGGCCTTTTTAGTCAGTCTTTAGACAAGGACGTTGAACATAATAATAATAATGATGATAATTATTATTATCATTATTATCATTATTATTATTATTATATTATAATAACACAAAACAGATAGGTATTTCTGTCTAACCTAACTAAACTTACACTGAGTAACTATATACATGTAAGCAAATAGTATAATGTAAATACTAGGAGTTGTTGACTTATTCCGATGTATAGTGTAAAAAGTCCGCCTAAATTAAGTAAATTTATAGATATAAAAGTACGTTAGAATTTTTTTGTCAAGTAAAAATAATGTTTGACTGTATGCTCTTTCGGAGTATACGTAATATTTGATACTGAACTGCAAATTCGATACTATTTTCTTTTATGAATTATGATACAGCCAAATCCAGGAAACGATTGTGTGTTTTTTATAATTATGGAAATCAGACATTTTTATTACAATAATGTAATGATCCATGACGATATGAGAACTGAGAAAAAACAAGAGCTGTCACAGAACGTGACAAATGCCCCTGAAGGATTCTAGTTCTAAAGCAACTATTACAGTCATGTTAAGTGTGGTTGGTAAAAATTGACAAAGTTTGAACCCCAGCAGTGAACTAATAAGTTATACAAAGAAACCTAGGTCTTGTTCACAACACATTGTCCATCTATGGTGACTTTATATTTTTAAATAAAATTGAAAACTTTCATGTATATACGGAAGTTACAGAGCGGACACAACAACCACCATTTATATGTATATAACATAAAATATGAAAAAGTTTAAACCCAGAAGTGACCTTAAACTAAGGCGTAGGAACACGGGTCTTAAGGGCAACACATCATACATGTATGATAATTTCATATGTGAAATAAAAACTATAATCCTTTCATGCATATTATTCTCAGAGCAGACACGACCATATCTGCCTATTTTTTTTTATTAATATCAAAATTAACAAAGTTTGAACCCCCACAATTACCTGGACCTAAGTCATAGAAACCAGTCTTGTTCGCGACACACCATACATCTATGGTTATTTCATATATGAAAGAAAAATTAAAATCCTTTCATGCATACTGAATCAGAGCGGACATGACCACCACTGCCTATATGTATAAAGCCTGAATGACTGACGGAATGACAGACTGACAGACGGACGGTTCGATTTTAATATGCCATCCTTCGAGGGCATAAAACATTTATTAACATGTATTCATAATTTATGTGACATAAAACAACTCTAAGTAAAGATTTGGTTTATATCATTCCAATATGCCCTTACATCTACATAATGAGTGTAAATTAAACACTTAACATAAGGAAGCCTACAATCAAAAATTTAATTTAGCATTGCCTCTTTTACTGTTACTTTTAACGATTCTCTTTCACACTGTATTGAATGGCTTTCAATTTCAAAATACCGCTACATGATCAGCAAGATTATCAGCCCATTTTCTCACTCCTGACTGAGTCTCACAACTTCTCATGGTGTCCATATGCGAGATGGATGATATGTAACGGTGGAGACATCGGAACACATTCAAACTACGTGTGCACCAGCCATAAGAAAGGCAGTTATACACATCAATGCTGTCATTCGTGTAGATAATCCAATTCATGTAGTTATTGCTGCTTACATGTATGCTCTGCAATTTCGTGCACAAAATAAAAGGATCCTTTTGAATTGTGAAAAAGGACAAGTCAAGACTTTCTGTCTATTTATTCTTGGAAACAGCTAGAGCTTAATAACATGCTTTTTTCTCATCCTGGGAAAGTGTAATGAAGACATTTCGTCCGTTGACTCCTAACATACTTCCTGCTTTGGCAATTTCTTGTGAATATTTTTTAATGAGAATAATACTAAATTAATAAGATTTGAAACTTCTTGTTGAATTTTTAAGCAAAATTAAATGTCTAACAAAATCTTTAATACCTTAATAACTATGAAATAGCACTGACTTTTAAAATGCTTAAAAATCTGAAGGAATAAATACATTAATGAAATAACATATTATTTACTGAAAAAGCACTATCTATTTTATGAATTATAAAAAAGGAAATGAAAAAAAAGTTCGTGTTCAAGGTTTGAACTCAAATCTCCTGGGCGAGAGGCTCCCATGCTACCACTAAGCTACATTAACAAGTAGTTTTACATATACATCAATGCAGACGATGTGGAATTATAGAGTTTAAATACTCAACATACAGTATCTTTAAATTGTTTTGAGACTTGCGATAATTTTATTTTCACAAAGTAAATTGAATTCTTCTTATCTACCTTTTTTAAAAAGACATAAAAACTCTTTTAATCACTGGTGTGTTAAAAACGACCACAGTTGTATGTTGTTGTTGTTGTTTTTTTTGGTGAGGGCGAAAGAACCGGACCCAGATCAAGTATTCAGCAATAAAATAGCTTGAACAGCATAACTTCTTTCAATGAATCAATAAAATTACATAACAACACCTTGCTAATTCTAAGAATGAAATATTTAGGGCATAAGTAGAATTTCAGCATTTATTTATAAGCGTTTACATATAATTCTTTTAACCTGCCAGAGTTTTGTTTACAACTGTTACAGTGGAAACCGTCGAACTCGTACCAAAACATAATCGTTCTAATTTTAGTGAAAGTGCCTTTAATTTACTAGAAATGATTTTCCCGCAAACATTTATTAAAATATATGTTATGAATCATATTTCAACAACTTAGAATAAAAATTAATAATGTTGAGTGCAATATAGATCTACATGCTCCATTGTTTGCATTTACTGAAATTAATGCCAGAAAATGACGTTTAGATATTAGATAAAAATCTTAGTTTGGAATAGAGCACAGGCAAGCCCCAACTTTATATTGATATAGTTGAAGCCTTTGATACATTACAACACAATGGTGTAATGATTTTGTTGGGGCTGGACTGTGCTGATACTTTAATTTTCGTTTAAAACACCAAAAATACGTGAATTTTCCTAATTTTGCTGGAAATAGGGGTATTTCCATAGAAAATAAATCATACTAAATGTAAACATATGTCTATAAATTCATAACTTTTTAACAGTTTAAGGATTGAACTTATAAATAAAACCTAAAGACAAGAACTTTTCATCAAATCATTTTTTGCCAAAATCTTGGGCAAAAATCCATGGTTAGTGAACCTAGCTCTTTCGCTACCATTATTTTTTGGTCTGACGACCCAAACAAATAACAAACAAAAGAGACAAAAATTAGTTATTCAAAGCACTAACCTTGACTTCCCCTGCCTCTGCTCCAGTTGTTATATGTTCTAGGTGCGCTAGCAGGGTGACCCTTTTGCGAGCCCCTATATTCAAGCTTCCCTTTATGATTCGCCGCGCCATGTTTAGGTGTTTCAGCTTTCTTCTCAGGAATCACATACTTTGGCAGCCCCTTGAAAAACCAAGCTCCAGATCTTTTCCAAACCTGAAATTAGACAATTAGGTATTTCAGTTTAACCCTTAACCTGTGAGAACTGGAAAGTGATAAGATTTTTCCACTAGTGTAAAGCAAGGCCAGCCTGCACATCTGTGCAGTCAAACTTTATATTTTTATCTTGATATCCCCAAAATTGATAATTGATAGGTGTAAAATTGAGACTGAACAGATCCATTTAAGAAATTTCAGCATGTTATGGGTTAAGAGGCTGTGAAAGGCAACAGTGTAAGATTCACATCACATTACCATTGTTAACTTGTAGAAGGTCATGAATGTTAATATTGATCATGCAGCTTTCGGAATAATGCCCCTTGTTGATCATTATAAGCAAGCATTAGAAGTTACATATTGATACCATTAAAATTGTTTGAGTGAATTGGCTACACAATTTTTGCACAATGATCATGCAGCCACCATAACATCTTGACTCTTTCTTTGAAACAAACACACTAATAAACAAGTAATTAGTAAGTACGACTTCATTTAATGCAGCTAGCACATTCAGTTACCTGATCTTGTGATTTTAACACTACCATATTCTAACAACATACTAACATTTCCATGAACTGTTGAAAATAACAGGGAGAAAAAGATACAGTATTATAGATTCTGAGACTCAAATAGAGATGGTTTATGCAGACATAATTCCAGAAATAGCCCTTTTTCTTTCCCATGTGTAGTAATTAATGTCAAATAAAATGATGGAGAGCAAAGCAATTTAATTTATAACAAAAGTTTAACATCTGCATCCTTCCTAGTGACAGACTAGAGGTGAAACTAGAAGCAGTATGTCAATATGAACACTTGAAAAATATATAATTCTTAGACTCTGACTGGCTTGTAACTAACAAATTGTCAGAATATATTTGTTTGTAAATGGCAACGTTTCAGAATCTATTTGTTTGTAATAATATTACATTTGATGAAGATCTATAGGCCAATTACTTACTTGTGTGCAAAATTTCAAATCGTTGCCTTAATCTGTTTTTCCAGGAAAATTATTCTTATTGTACAAAATGACCCAAAATTGAACACTTTTCACACTAATCAGGTTAATTTAAGAAAAGTGCATAATATAATACAATCAGAGTATATTTTGTGTTACATCTTTCTATTCTATTTTAAATGCCCCAGATACGCAGGAAATTCAAATTTTATTATTTTCTAGCGAAGTTCCTTTAAGAGCTTTAACTAATTAAAGCACATGTTATACATAATATTATGTCATAATTTAAGTTTTTTTGTTTGTTTTTTTGAAGATTGTAGAGGTTTATAGACAGGTTAAGTAAGTTCAAGTACTGACTTAGGTATTGTGTATCTATTACCTAGCTACAGCTCTCATCCTAAATTCAGTAGTAATTTTAATCTCTAATTTCCTTGGGATCTGAATTTCAAGCGGTTAAATGTTGTCAATCCAATGCTTTCTCCTATGTACAAAAAAGTTCTTATACATGTATTTACTATTAATTTACTAGCTTAAATTGTATTATTAGTATGAAACATATTAAATACTTCTGCATTAAGCTTTAATAGATTTTTCTATAGCAACAAGAAATTACAAGGTGCTGAGACATGCTTTATTTGCTGAATTCTATGGCAATATTTTTCTATTAACAAGTTTAGAAATACTGCAGTAGACAGTAAAATGAGGCAAACAATATTTGGAATTCCCAAAGCAGATTTAACAAATTGACTTTTTTCCCCACCATGGTGACATGATTCAAAATAACATGTCTTGTCCACATTTACTCTACTCTTCTCTATGCTGGATAGTATGATAAAAGCAAAGCAGAAATGGTGGAATAATTCTGCAAAAGTGCATGACTGAATAACCTGCCCTAAATAATAAACAAATATTCCATTGTTGAAATGACTACATGTATATGAGAAAATTATTCAGAAAAAGCAGAACAGGAAAATAATAAACGGCAAAAATTATGCCCTTTAGAAATGCATTTCAATTTAATGATTGTTAACAAGTATGCTTGGCTTACAATAAATAATTATCTGTTGTAATTTTTGAGAAATTAACCATAACAAAAAGATTATCAAACAAAATGTAAGTAGAAAAAGGGTCATTAACTTGGCATTTTTATTTATTTATTTTTTTGGCAAAAAGGTATAATTAAAGGCTTTGCAATTAATACTCCTGAAAACTTAAACTTCACAAAATATCCTGGATAAGCGAATTTCTTGAACAAAAAAAATTATATTAAAGAACTGGCATTTCTCCTCCAGTAAAATTGATAGATTTTTAATGCACAGAATGATAAAGAATTCTCTATGGAGTAATTTACTTAGTTAGAGCCTCATTTATGAAGACAATTTTATGTAAATATCTTATCTGAATTGATGAATTACATTTAACTCTTCATTAGACATTCAAAGAAAGAACCAATGATAAAAATACGGCTATTTCCTGCTATTATGCATCTCTAGTAAAAATCTTAAGAATATGACTTTTGTGACAAATATTGCTCATTAACTAATATGTTGACAACTTAACAGTTTTAGCTACACAGCAACTAGAAATATTTCCATATGACACAGATGCCCCCTGACATTAAACCAGTGTTTTGTCACTCTATATAATTATAATGGACAGCCTGACAGTAACGACTGCCTGACAGATGGACACTTTTTTATTGTACTTTGATGTTGAAATAATGTAATAATATACAGTATTGTATTAAAAGATGTTGACAAAACAAGAAAGTCGCCACCAATATGCTATAGTCAGGTTTTCATCCTCACAAAATAATGATCTTGAAAAATAAACACTTTCATGGAAATATTTTTGTTTATTGAGGTTTAAAATATAATGTCTCGATCAGCAGCTGTATGCCCTTAAATTTATTTATTTCAATTTAATGCACAGCAAAACTATTTGTTCATTATCTTTCAGTGGTGCTGGTTTTGGCCACAGAATTGCACAATTTCCTGTGTTACTTTCACACAATTCTGCATTACTTGATATACGCTGACAGTGGAAATTTTTAAACAACTGCATCATTATAATACAAAAGCTCTTCTTTTTTCTCCAAAAGTGGATTTAAAAAAGGATCATATTTTTCTCCACTTAATACAATTTGATATGTCTTTTAGAAAAAATAATTAAAGACAAACTTCCATATAAGAACACATTAAAATTACAATGTCTAGACTAGGTTATACAATCAGCCAAAAAAAGGCCATTATTGTTTTAAAGATAGAAATCAAGTCTAATTTATTATGCTTCTAGTCACACAGATTTCTCATACAAAATCCAAGTCTTTCAGAGGCTTGACATCAGTAGGGAGGAAATAAGACATAAATACAAGACAAAATCAAGCATTTATGACCAATATTTAGAGATGATAGAACTGAAACAGACACAAGGTTGCAATATAAAAAGCCTTGAGTTAACCATCAGTTTTCAAGTCACCAATCTCTAGAAGGTTTTGCCTGTTGAAGTATTGTCAGAGACAGATTCATTGTCACTGGTATTTTTTTTTTTTTTTTAATTAAATTAAATTAAATTTTTTCTGGACAAATACTGCAGTATATTCAATGCTCTACTGTTCAAAACCTAGAAACCAGCACTCACTACTGTTATCACGATAACATAGCAAATCCATCATCCCTGAGTTAGACTCAAGCCCATGGTGCTGGGATCCAGCTGCAAATAGTAAATATATTGTAACCATTCCTTAACAGTTAAAGTTTAATTTCAATACATTTTAGGGCGTTCTTCTGAAATAGCAACTCTGTAACTTTTCAAATTCAACTGAACTAAAGAATAATGCTATGAAAAAGTTGACAACTTGTACTTGGAATGAATAAACACCCAGCCAATAAGCACTACATTTTCCTGGATTAAATAAAGTTATATTACATTCGGGTCTATCTATTTAGTCTGGCTACTAACAACATAAAAGCTGGAATGGCATAAAAAAGAATTCAATTCATTATGTCTGAGAGTTTAATCTACTGAGCCCTCCTGACAAGAAATGGTTGATAAATTTTGTTACTTGTGTCTGCGACTGTGAAATTACTGGGAGACAATTACTGTGACAAGATCAATTTAAAGTATCACATACAAAATATTTACCAGCTCAGTTATAATGTCCTGGAACATTATGTACAAGTTAATTGTAATCGTGACCACCATCCCTAAGGGAGTGTGAATGATGTGGGGAAATTAGAAATTATCTTTAACCTGTCCTAGTGCATTGCCTTGACAATATGGCTGTTTTGCACTACAATAGCAAGGATATTTTCGATTCCCTCTGTATAATTAAGGCATTTAACTCAGACTGTATACAATGTAACTGTCTCTAATTTTGTCCAATTCCACATACCTATATAATACCTAAATAATCATTTTGTATATCTTATAACAATAATATTTACATGTCTGTACATGCATACCAAAATCATATCCAAATCTCCTGCAAATAAAATATGATATTTTGGTAAAATGTCTCTATCTATTTGGTTTAACAATATATTAATTTTGTGCACTCAAAACTATTTCATCAGGCCAGACATGAATTGGTACTGTTGGCTGAGCTCAAACTTTGCTTTGAATTATGTAACTTAAAAAACTTTGGGTAACAAACAAAATTACAGAGTGAATTGATACGATGTGTAAGCGGCTGGAAAGCTCAGTCTGTAGAGCCGCAGTACAGTATTCCGAGGGTCCCGGGTTTGAGTTCCGGTCAGGCTGCACATTTTTCTCACCCTGTGACAAATTGTAAATCATATTTGTCCACTTTCAGTGTAAAATATTGAACAACCACTGTTTATAAATCTTTCTAAATGTTTTTTTTCCTATTTTTCTTGATCATCATAAATTATGTTGCCTTGACTTAAACATTAAAGACCCTGTAACACATTATTTTTATGGTTTTATATATACAAATTATGATGCTCAAATTAAGATTTATCGATATTGTAAGTTTCAAAAAACATTATTTATAAAGATATTACCGAATTTAATATTTCAT